GTGTTTTGGCCGTGCTGTGGGCACGGTAGTGTCTCTGTCCTTGTTCTCGCCTCTGTGTTACCCATTCGTCTCCTCCTGTCTTTGTAAAAGTGGAATATAATACCGAAAAAACAGACGTTCCTGCAGCGCGTAAGAACGTGCTCAAAAGACCTGCAGGGTCCGTCCGGTCACATGGACAATATCCCAAACTCTCTGGGCCTCCCGAGGCTGCCAAATCAAATACGCAATCTCCTGTATGGCCTTTCCTGTGAGAATTTTAATACCTCTGTTTCGAATAAGCTTGGAAGTTTATGCAACGGCTTCTCCATCTGACGTTCCCGTCTCGTGGACTGGGAAGAAAGGCGTGCCTGGAAGAGCAGCCGACGGAAAGTAAATGAGCTGATGAGCTGATTTTGCCATGTTATTTCATAAAAGACTCTGCAGTAAAATGTCCTTCTCTTATTGATGAGGGTTTCTGTGTTCATGGCACCCTGGGGGCCGTTATGAGAAGCGGTGGGAAGCAGCAAGGGGAAGGGAATGTACAGGTACTAAAACTTCTGAATTCCCCAAAAATGTCACAGAATGTAGAGGTATCAACCGTGGAACAGATCTGATTCCTTCTGCCCCCCTCCTTAAAATAAACACATGCCAGTTTTAGGAGATTTGTGTCTTGGCAGGAATGATGAATTGGTTTGTATCCGTACCCATTCCACCCTACCATTCTCTGGCTCCTCCCCTCCCCGTTATACTTGACACACTGGAGTTCTGTATTATATTTTTTTTTAAGATGACTGTCTGTTTTTTGTTGTTTTTACAAGTGTTGTGGAAAAAAATGTAAGAAAGTTTAAGTATTTAAAAATGTTCCAAGGAAAAAGGGGGTTTTGTTATTATTCTAATATATTATTGTGTACCTATTGTAAATATGAAACACTCCTATTTTGCAAGCCAAGGACTCACTTTGTACTGTTGTTATATATAAATAAAGTTTACTGGTTAAAAAAGCCGTCCTGAGTGGGTCCTTATTTTCTAACGTGATGTGTGGCGTTTATTGTATACGCTGAGTATATACTGGTGAGAAATATTTACTTACTGAATCACACCAGACATAAATGGGTAACTGGAAATCTGGAAATAACCCCCGTCCGGCAGCGCCGGGGTCTGGGATTGCCCCTGGCCTCCAGCCTTTGGAAAGCGGCTTCTACCTTTGCAGCACAGAAAAGTTTTCCGGTAGTAAACGAAGAGCAAAGCGCGGTGGATGCAGGGAGGCTCCGAGGGACCGGGCGATGCTGCTTCA